ATCGACTGGCTTACAAATTATATTCGGAGCAGAACACTCTTCAGCTATAAGGAATGTCTCACATATACACTTTTAATCCAACTTATAGGAAGAGAGAATGGTGGGATGACCCCGTCGCTGCTTCCAAACTTAAAAGCTTTCTCGTTGAGGTAGAAATCCATCATCTACCAGCTAAAACAGAATAATTGTTGCCATCCAGTCGACAAAGATGGTATTCACTTGGACTATACGTAGCCTTATTCTTCCACAATTTACTCCCCAAGAAGCATAACACCTCCCATCCACATTAATAACGCTACTTCTGGGCATACATGCACACCTTATAGCCTACTTTAAGGAGTAACTCAGATGCCACATGGTATAAAGCCCGCTTCTTAATTACTATTTGGAGAATTTTCACAATCACACCAGAGACACTTTTACCAGGGTAAACAGCATCAGGCGCACTTACGCAATGTCTGGGCAGTATCTCCACCACTTTCAAGATCTTTTGAATTAAAATATCTACATTGTACACAACTCAAAAAAAGGTTTCCACTCTTTATATACCTATTGAAAAGGTGAATGACAAAAACAGGGATAATAATTGGTCGTATTTAAGTGCCGTTTTTGTAGCTCAGTGAGGACGGCGCCAAAAAAGAATGAGCTACCCTCTGTTACATAGTTTATATTGCGGTCCAAAGATGTGCATGTGTCTGGAGCACAATCCGATTCCTGTACGGAAATAATGTGCATTCTCCTTCTACAAAGGTCGCCTACGCTGACGCTCTTCAATTGTTTTACGCCTGAGCGGCTGTCTCGTCATCGTACCGTACTGCGCTTGAAGTTTTTATAATAATTACGATTAGATATCCGCAAGTTAGGGTTATGCACTTTCGTTAATGGGAGATTTGGATCACCACCGCATGGTGTTGCATATACACAATCACTATTATCATCTTCATGAAAAATGCCTCGGTTGGGATGGTCTGCGATATGAGCACCGACGACTAACGAGAGGACACATTGGCAGTTTATTCTAAATACAGTTAAAGCACCCTCGTGACAACCACCATAGGAACACTCAAAGAAGCACCAAATAGACCCCCTTCACCATGGTAAATCGGCAAAGTCTGTTTGACAGTTCTTCTGAGCTTTACAGATAAAGGACGCCCCTATCACTGTCGCCGTTGTCGTTACGATCGAAATAAAAACGTCCCCCTTGAACTCTAAAAGCGAATGCCCAAGAAACGTGGCTGACATTCGTGGCAGCTAAGTAGTACCGAAAGGATCAGTTGAGAGTGAAATAGCAAAGCAAATTTTTTGTTACGTTTAATCCAAAATGTGTTAACACTTTCGACTCTGCATTTCTCTGGCAAGAATTACCGGGCAGATAGGTGGACAAATCGACAATTAAAACGGCACTGAAGGAAAGTTAAGTGGTTCGTACTTTCTATGAAATATACCACTCGAGCGAATTGACGGTCGTGGCAGAAAACCATAAAACTGAGTACTTACAAGCGCACATACCCAAGAGGCCAGCGGAATCAAAAAAAAGAAATCTAGTTTCACGTGGAAAAGTAGAACAATGCACATTTGTGGAAGGGGGATAAATTTTTTGGATTGCAAAATCGCGATCGCATTAGCCAGAAGTGCACAAATAGTGTCGACACGTGGAATATACATGTAAAAGAAACGCTATCGCATTCCATCTAAAAATCATGGGAGAAGGAAGACAACATGGTCATCATTTATTAATTCCACCTCGCGAATCCGACTAACCATCGCAGTCTAGGGTAAGATCATATCAGTGGAGAGGGGCCAACCGCCATTTCTATGACGTTTGCAAGAAAAGACGTGGCAAATTGTTACGGTGACTGATTAAATAAAACAATGTGATTTATTTAAACCAAAAAGACCACGAAAATGTTGACTAGAGGACGTTTGAATGAGTAGGAATGGGTAGAACAGTATAAGTACCCCGTTAGCAAGCCTTCCTGCTCCAGAACGGTACAAACGATTGTGTTCAGCCTCAATTCTTAAAAAGTGCAAACTCATCAAGTTTCAAGTTCTCCCTCCAATGGAGTTGTCTTACAGGGGTTTGTTGAAAAAAATCTAAGAAGGATGCGCCGGTATGACATATGCAGAATGCTACAGCAGTTAAGCTGGCTATAATCATAGCCATGAGGGACGAAACCTGAGAATGGCTCATAAAATTAGAACCATAACGCTTGGAGAGATTGCTAGAAATCGAAATGTCATTGTTGGAACAGCCTATGCCAGGATCCAAAACGCCCTTAAGTTTGGGCGAGTGTGGACTAAAGGAGCAAGGAAAGTTAAGAAACTACCACCATTAAAGATAATATAGTGGGCCCTGAGAAGCCCGGTCTTTAAACACGATTTTCCACCATCAATCTCTCACGGATTGTCCTAGCAGGAGAACAAAGCAAACTTTTGGGCCAAAGGACAATTTACACACTCACTGAAGGAGACAGATTCATCTGGCCTGGAACAGGAATGCGAGAATGAAGAGATGGTGGAAGCAGAGGAGACACCAGAATGAGGGAACATTGTTGACTGAGAGGATGATCTCAAACACCGGTGTTGTTCCTGCCGCTGCTGTTGTTCTGCCTCCTGGTCCCCCGCCTCGCGCTGCTGCTGTTCTCGCTGCCGCTCGCTTGTCGTACCCCCAAGAATGCCACGCATTTGCTGAAAAAAGTCCTGTTGCCGTCTCTCCGAAACAAACTCGCCCACACAGAGTTGAACCAAGCTGGCAAGCAGGGATGTGGCCTGTGGGTGACAGACCTTTAATAAGGATTGTTCATCACTTCTCAGTCCTCTCAACTTAAGTGAATCTTTGTTCTTGAAAAGGATAAAATTATTAATCAATGAGGGTTTGGAGACATCCTAATATAAAGATGAGACGAAAACTAGTGCCCATGGTAATATAAAATCATATCTTCTGTAATAACTACCCCAACAATTTCATTGCCATGGTGCATAAACGGTCTGCCCCTTTTTAAAATAAAACTACAGAGCAAACGCGATCGCAGCCTTTAATTGACTAAAATTATCATTTAAAAAAGGTCTGATTAAATAAAAACTCGACAGCTTTAGCTCCCATATTTACAAAAAGCACTACAAAATGGATGGGGAGATAAATATCGCCGCCATTTAGTTAGCTAACTATTTAGATGATTAATGGTAGATTTTTCTTCAATTAACAGAATTTTTTAATGTTCTTACTAGAAGTCCAAGTAGGGACCAGTAAAATATAGGTTTGACATTCACTTTTCCCTTAAATTCAGTCCTAAGTTGTACTTTTCGAGGGACGAAGAGAGAAACCGTCCTCATTTTCAAGTCAAAAGTCAATCCCGTTTGAAGGATTTATGAGAAGTAAGTACTTGTGTTTACACATTTTTTGGTAATTCCAATGTGTTGAATTTCACTTAGCTGCTCAGTTGCTTTTACAAGGGAGTATTTAAAATTAGCCTGGTTCTCCTGCGAAATTATTTGAAAGTAAAAGCCATCATGGAATCAAACTTTTCTAAATCAACTTTGAATAGAAAATAACGGAAAACCGTAAACCTGGATGTCAAACATTTTTACAGAAAAATGATTAAGGGTATAAAAAACAATCTAGCTATCCAGTCAGGATTCGAATTCGAGTTCCTGCTACTTTTTCTCCACATATTTTGAAAGAGAGCTTCTAAAGTGACACAAAAACTGTTTGAAAGAAAGAAAATAGAAACTTGTTACCCAAGGGATGGGCTAGCGTTAAAACACTGGCAAAAGAGCGGATTTTAAACCCAAAATACGCACAGCCATCATCTCTACTATTTAGCTACCCAGTCTCTTAACAATGCATCCTTATTTTAAGGATTTACTGCTGAATCCTTGCAAGAGATGACTTTTAAATACACAGCACCAGTTTTTTGGAACTTTTCCAAGTATGTTCGGAGGTTATGAAATCATCCCACACAGAAGGTAAATTAACTATCAACATTATTTTACCTTTTAGCTAATTAAATGCAGTGTAACGTAGTAGAAGACTGAAAAACAAATTTTCATTGTCTTCTTGCTCTACTATTAAAAAACGGACAGCAAAGCCATTTAAGCATAGAAGAGATCAATCCGAAGTTGTATAGATTTTGACTATAAGAACAGTTGCCAAAATGGGGCCTGAGTGAGGGGAGGTTGATACAGAGTACATACCCTTTATTCCTGCTCTTACAGCTACTTTGGAAATAGACACGAATGTATGTCCGTTAAGAATTATTTCTTAAAAAACAAGCACACTGTGGACTAATAATTTTATGAGTGCACAGACACACGCGTATTGAACGCTACTTCATTGAAGCAAGATAACGGAGCAAATTTCGTGCCTAAAATTACCAGCGCAAACTCACGCATTTCTGCCAAAACTCGGGCGACTGTTGCGTCTGATTGAGGGAGGTAAGAAACTGACTGCAAAGCGTGTACAAGTGTTCATCCATGGCAGCGATGACTTCCTTGCCCGCTGAAATGGCAGCCGGACTGCTAGCGGACTTCTCGCGCTGTGGTTCAACGGTTGGCATCGGCGTTGTGGTGGTAGACTTGTAAAGCCGCAGATTGTTCGTCTGCGGATCGGACCTAACAGGAGCAATGGGTTGGTGTGGAGAGGAACCCAAGAATGAGGAGAGCTTAATTATCTCCTGAGTGTGCGACTCAGAGGGTTCCGTGAAGGAGAGGGAAGAGATGGGGCAGACGGTGTAGACGCCTATGTGCTGAATTACCAGCGGATCCAAATGGTGCACCTCGGAGAACTAGATCGGTGGAAGGGGTATAAAGGAAGCAATGATACCACTACGTTGTGTCAAATTAAATCTTTGTAAATGATGGGATAAGTAAAAAACACATCGTCGAAATCTGGCATTGTAACTCGGAATATTAGATTGAAGGAAGAATGAATGAAAAGACATAAGCTCATGAAACTACTGTCAAAAGTTCACTCTCCAGCTTTCAAAACTTGAGTGAGTGTGATGTTTGGAAATGATGGAGGGAATGATAATAAAATACAAGGCGGGAGAGTAAGTGAAGAGCAAAATTAATGCACTGCTGCCTCCACGCTTTGGAAACATAGTTGCGTAGCAACGAAAAAAGTGAACACTAAGCGGTGTTTAATTTTCACAATCCTTGGGTTATGCGAATGCCAGCTAGAGCCGTGAAAAAAGAATAATAGGAAGATTGATCACTCAAGCATAAAACTGCACTGTCAAGATGCAAATTTGTGTGATCATTGGAAAAGCAACGGGAGCATTATAGAAAATTATCAATGAATGCTTGTGATCTGATAGCTCATAGTTATTGTCTCTTTCTTCTTAGACTAATTTTTTTACCAGGGACTTAGAGAAAAATCAGCCACTGCAGTTGTAATGTATTAAGGTCAACGTGAGTGGTTAGAAAAAAAACTTGTTTTTGTGTACCTTGACTGGGGAGAGAAAGTCGTAGTGAAAACTGGGCAACTAAACAAGCGGATCTCGTCCCAGAACACACGTAAAGAGATGATAGTATACTTCAGACTATCAACCTGCTCTCTACTCCTTACACCTTATAAAAGTGCGGCATTTCTGGCTTGACTTACTTTTGATAAGAAGTGCCTTATGGTATAATGTCTTAGCAGCAAAAAATTGTCAAAGAATCTTTTCAATATTCATCAGGTTACTCAAAAATACGATGGCGAATCAAAGAAGTTACTTGGTAATCAACCATAGATCTTAACTTTAAACATCAGATGCATGGCATCTGAAGATGTCACTGACATACAAAAATTACATGGTTGTTGAAACCCGAATCAAGAGAGCTGTGTTCCCACAACACTGTTAAACTCATTAAAAAGGGGACTAACATTTGAGAATCGAGAGGTAGTCAAGAAAATAGGATTCTTTTTCGAACTCCTAAATACTTAAACCTCTGGTCTAGTGAGAAATTCAGGCCTGTCAGCCGAAAGTGCTTTCCTGCTTCATTACTGCATTCATGGATTTGATACGTGAAAACTTCTCCCTCCTTAGGACCCTTTGAACAAGTCAAAAATAAAACACAGAAAGAAATGGACTATGATCTTATGTAACCAAAAATTTGCTTTACGTACTACACCATTCCTCAACTAGCCCTAAATTTTTAGATGTGTTGTATGATCCTATAAGAGTACACTCTCTAGCAGTCAATATGAACCAACAATTAATGATCGGAAGTGTTTTACCACAAGGCTATCTGGATTTGAAACTTTTGAATGGATGTGCCGAGATGGTTATCAACACACATGCCCACAATATGATACGGCGGCGCGTTAATCACTACCATTAGCACATTTTCCACCAGGACCTCAGGCCGAAAATTTTATAGGTTAAAGTTGACGTCAAGTGCCATAAATTTTTTTCCTAAACCAACTTAACTGCGGCTTAAAAGTAAACTTACAAATACTAAATTAAAAACATCTTACACTTATCTTGGTAGCTGAAATTAAATCACGGTTTGCTTTATAAAATGCGGCAAAATAAACCGTTGTAACTTGGCAAAAAACACATCACATGCTTGTGGCACCAGGTTCTAATAAGAAAATCCGGGCGGCACATATATATGATGCTGGTGGTGAACATGTTGAGTAAGTTTCCCTCCAAGGCATTAAAATCAAAACCGCCAACTTTGCCTTTTGAGAATACTAAAATGCTCAAAAATTTAAGGGGTTGATTTAAAAATGCAATTATTTCATTTACTCACCCTATTTTAAATGCCTTTTTCATCCAATCGGAACATTTACTGGTTCACATAAATACTCTGATGCCAAGAACACAATACATAAGATTGAAATGAAGGAAATAAGAAAAATCCAAAGTAGCAAGAACGGAAAAAGTGTTGGAAGTTCAAGCATGACGTAGAAGTCTTGGACTAGGTTCTAGATATGGGAAAACGTCGATGTCACCATCCGCCTGTATGTATGCGTCGTGATCTAGGGTAAGAAAAAACTATTTTCATATCTTTTGGAGCGGAAAAATTTTCAAGAAACAAAGCAAACTCCTGCGGTGAAAACTCTTCAGAGAAATGCTTTGTGTGGAAGGAAAAATCTGTTCGAGGCGGTCAGATCTAAGCGTTTGCACATCTAATACAAAAAAAAACAATTGTACTTCAAATTAAAGTCGAAAAACGACAACTATAATTATGCCATTTATAGACACAGGAGAAAAAATTAAAAGTTGCGCATATGAACAAGCATAATCATAGTGAACGAAAAAGTAACAACGGAAAGAAATGTGACGTTTTATGTCGGTTGTAGTTTTTGAAAACTCATGAAGCCAGTCATTTATTTGAATGAGAAATCCGACTAAATTGGAAAACGATCAAATTGAAATAGGCCAAGGAGAAAAGAATAGCTACCAAGAGAACCTTTTTAGTGGTTAATTTAGTTTCGCTTTGAAGGTATAAATTTCTAAAGCGATTAGTTAATTCTTAGAATTAAAATAATTACAAAACCTGACCATATATGAGGACATCGTATGAAATGACAACATAAAACAGAAGAAGGCGCTATTCTTACAAGACAACGCAAGACCTCACATATCTCACATCGCATGCTGCAAAACTTATCCGCAAAGATGCCTCATGGCCCACCCCCATTCCTCCAAATGATGGTTAGCATCCTGTCTCGACGACGGTGCACAATCAGGTGATTTGGGGAATGAAATAAAACTGAGACAGAGACGGAAGTAGCTAAGATTGAGCTGTTGTATCGCTCCTGAAGACAAAGTAGGATTTACAACAGGTTCGTGCCGGACTGCGGGTCGCACTGGTAAATATTCCACTAAAACATTTTGAAAGCCTCTCCACAGTTAGTTAATTTTTATTATGAAAAGTCGCCCAAACTTGAATGTCCACCTGCACTTTTGTTAATCAAACACCTGTCCGACATATCGAACAGACGTGGTGGGGAAGGTGATAATATTAAATGTATGTGAAAGCGTTCTACAATGAATGTGCTTCACAAACACCGAGTTTGTCAGCTACGCATTAATATTAACCATTGCTAGAATTCCCGAAGCAATTGCAAATTTGCACAACTACAAATTCAGTCTGGTTCACAGGGGAGCACACTCAATTATGTGTGATTGTTAGAATCAGCCCACCAGCAGAGTTGCCATGTAGGAGCAGATCGCCTTTTTTCCACAGCTCGACCCAAGCACAGTAATCAATGTGAGAAAGAGGAAAGTGTTGACCTTGAAGCAAAAAGGAGACAGTTTAAAATACTACCCCAATTCGGTTCAAAATGGGTTCATCAAAAAGTTAACAACTCAAAACGACAATAGTCAGTAACAAAAACCACAATGAGGCATAGCGATGAAAACAATAAGCTAAAATAAACGTTTTTGAAGTAATCACTGATAAACAGAAGGCTTTCCGTTATAATAAAAGGTGGTACTACAATGGGTGCATTTAATAATACAAGTCCATTTCAAAGGGACCTTTGCATGAAACAAAAGTCCTCTTGAACGAAAAACGTAGTGTAAAATGGCTAATACGAGTTCTCCTCTCATTCTGGTCTCACCTTCCCCTTCATTAACACTTTCACACCGCCCACCCTTCTGCTCCAGCAATCCCCTGATCTTTGTAACACAGAACTGCTTGCTTTATGAATGTTTTCAACTCATTGTATTCTGTTCTTGCCCCACCGCTGATAACAAGCACATAACATGAAAATCTGCCACGTTTAATGAGCTCATCTGCTGTCAGTGCTCACAGAATCGGTCATCCGTAGTCAATGCCTTTCTTCTTTTTCCCGAAGAGGGAAAAGGTCTTAGAACCATCGATGAAGGCTGACTCACTTCTGCAAGGACTAGGTGCCAGCCACATCCCACCACACTCCTAAGTCACCACTGGAACCGCTACAAAGCACGTGGCTTCGGAAGTAGTTTTATGACATGATTTCAGAGCGGCTAGAGGGTCATTAATGTGGTTAACACGAGCAGAACCCTAGGTCGCCAGCCCTAAAGACCCTTACGACCGTGTAATATAATGCAACAGAACGGCATTTGTTTTGACTGCACATTTAACAATGTGGACCCCAACCATCAGCAGCATCACCACATTTCTCCTAACAGCCTACCGGCCCTTCCTTACATTTATAATAAAGTTCTTTTTTCCAGACTCACATCGTAAAGCGATCTCAGAGCGACTTCGAACGGTAGATTAATGTCGGCCTGTTGCAAAAAAATTCACCCACACAAATAAAATTAGCTTCAAGTTCAATTCAAAATGACTGCCGCAGGAAAAAAAAGGAGTAATTAAGCAAAACGCTGAAAGCCACAGTAACAAGATAAAGTAAGAATCCTAATTTGGGTCTACAGTGGACATTAACTGAACTGTTGGAAGGTTGATTCCGCTCATAATTGGACATTACACAATTCTTTAGAACGGGAAACAATAATTAATGAGTTTGAACACATCTTCACGTGAGTCTCCGTCAAAAAGTGATTCACTGGAACCCTCCCCATGTCTGGCAAATGCAATAGAAGCAGAAAATGACAACCCCCTAACTGGGCAATTTATGAGAGGGGAAACAGAATAGGATAGGAAACTTCTTTTACCCCTGCCTCAGCCACAGACACAACTGTGAAGACACAAATGATGATTTCTGCTTTGACAGGAAAGACACAGATGTTTGTCTCCGTATTGGTTCGAAAACCACAAAAAAAAAACACTAGCGGATGTAAGATTGTCCGCGCCCACCCACGTACCTTAATAAATCATAAAATTTATATCCTGGCATTATGATGGCTGCAGGATGAAGAACAGATTAATCAGAGTTCCAGCCTTGACAACCAAACATTTATGTTATAAACCAGTCTTAAAACGCTCTGTAAAGCAGTGTCCAGAGGCTACTGTGTTAAAGCTATAGAATCATTCTCATTAATGCAACCACAAAAGACGCTACTTTGTTGGCCTTTTTAACTGGGGGAGAAAAGAGAGAATGCTAAAGTGCTCAAAGACAGGATTTATTCAGAGAAATAGTAAATTTACTTTACAAAAAGTGCATCATCGTTCCCTAAACGCTGTCAAAATGCAATAGGCGAAAGGAGAGAACAAGATGTTACTCATATGAAAGGAATTCCCAAACAGTCGAGTGACCCACTCTTTCGCACTGTGTGCTTCATTAAGGGTACAAAAAATGTCTAGCACAATCAATCCTCTTAAATTTTAAGGAACAATTTTAACCATCATGGATTTATAAAACATAACAAAAATGTAGCATAAATAAATCAGTATCGGAAGATTGCTTTGAATACTTAATACAGTACCAGATATATCTGCTTATGCCGCCAATTAAGCTAAAGTTGACACGACTTGGGTCTACTTCCCACAGTGGAAAAGTATTCTGATTTTTGAAAACGTCACACTGATGATGGATGAAAGTGTCTTTCAGTTGGCTGAATGACAAGTCAGATGGCTGTCAAAATGAGGGAGAAAAAAAAAATATCATTTTTCTTCATGATGCGCTATTTCCATTGGTTACCTTTCTTTCAAATCCGACAAACGCCGAAAATGAGTCTAAGTCGTCATCTCTGTTACTAAAGCCTTAAAAAGCAATCATTGGTTGTGAAACAGCAAATAGGGGAATTGAAGGTCGACATAGGATTTGCTATTCAACTAGGTCAAGCCAAGCATTTGTGAAAAATGAGCAGATTGCAGTGAATTAGGAACTCGGACGGATAAAATTAACATCGGGAAAAACTCTTTGCCAAAAAAAGTGTCCTAAAACAGACCTTACCCAAGTCCTTCAATTTAAAACCACCAACGAATCACAGACCTTTGAATAAAGTCTGAGAACAAGGCAGATTAAGCCAGTATTAGAAACCGTTAAAGCTGAGGGAAATGTGAAATTGCATTGGGCAAGTAATAGATGACCGGTTAATGAGGGAGGAAAGTCAATGAAGGAAATCTTACCAACATTTGACCTCTGCATGCACACAAAGCCACATAAATCCAATGATGAATTTATCTCCCTCCCTCCCAAAAAAAGGGGAAGTCCCGTTAATGAAACCGGGAAGACCAGATACGAGACGCCTAGGTTCGAGGGTGGCAAGACTTACAGCCTACAATTACAAGCGATCATTCATGTCTCAAGAAGTGCTTAACTGATGGTCGCCTTGTGAGGAAGCCTAGGGGTAGCAGCACAATCAAATGCTAAAGATTAAAAAGCAGTCGAGGAGAATTTGTTTGGAGTTTTTACGCAAAAAAAATAAATTCCATATTTGGCAAGTGGTCTCACTGCAATGAAAAACTAATCAACCCATATACTAGATAAAGGGGAAACGATTATTGCAAAAAGAAGAAGAACTTCTGGAAGGGCTGCACATCTGATCGAAAGGGCAATTCAATTTATGCAAATTTATTGAAAAGCTTTAAAGTGTGCAAAATATTAACAATGTAACGCTAAAAAGTTTTGATAAGAAAGTAATAACTTCTGTACTCTACGAAGTAGCCAACAACCTTTATATGGTTTTTGTAATAAAAATTAAACGACTGCAGAGTTTCCCATCACTTTAAATGTTGATACAATCACCGCTACAAATCATCCACTAGTGCTTTCTCAAGGAAATAAGGTAGCCACAAATCACTTCCTGACAAAGTTCCCATTTCTATAGGTAAACAAACAAATTTTACACCAGTCACCTCGATCCATTCAATTTC